AACTAAACCATTAAACCCTTAACCCTAAACCCTAAACCTTAACACAAACCGTACATAACAATATCCAAATGTCTCAGACAAATATCTAGTGACACCTAAATAATATTGTAAATATAATAGACTAATATCCACCACACACTGACTAATATATGATAGTTGTACACTAAACCAAATAGTTACCAAAAGTGCTAGATCTTTAAATAAATGTTAGAAAACATCTTAATACTCACCAAAAGTGCCCTATTAGAATATCCAAAAGTCCAAGAAAATTTTCGAAAACATGAACTAATATAAATTCAAACCTAAACAAGACCCTAAACCCTAAACCATAAAATTATTATTATTTAATGGGCCTTCGGCCCTTGGGCCCTCGGCGGGCAGCCCTAACTAAGGTTGCAAGTCTTATGTGTTAGGACATCCTAGTGTGTTTAATTTTCTAGTGTGTTTAATTTGATGTAAGAAACAATATTCCAATCCTTCACAAATTGAAAACCCGAACCACAAACCCTATAGAACAATATCCAAACGTCTCAGACAAATATCTAGGGACACCTAAATAATATTGTTAATATAACAAACTAATATCCACAACACACTAACTAACATCAACACACACTAAATAATATCCACCATATACTGACTAATATCCACCACACACTAACTAATATATGATAGTTGTACACTAATCCAAATAGTTACCAAAAGTGCTAGATGTTTAAATAAATGTTGGAAAACATCTTAATAGTTACCAAAAGTGCCCTATTAGAATATCCAAAAGTCCAAGAAAATTTCCGAAAACATGAACTAATATCAATTCAAACCTAAGCTAGACCCTAAACCGTAACACAAACCCTAAACCATAAAACTATTATTATTTAATGGGCCTTCGGCTCATGGGCCCTCGGCAGGCAGCCCTAACTAAGGTTGCAAGCCTTATGTGTTAGGACTTCCTAGTGTGTTTAATTTGATGTAAGAAACAATATTTCAATCCTTCACAAATTGAAAACCCGAACCATAAACCCTAAAACTTAAACTCTAAATTGGTGTAATCAGTTTCAGGTGGTTGGATTATTTTGGGGTTTGGTAAATATTAGTTTAATGATGGATATTGGTTTGCGAAGGAAGAATACTAGTTCATTTCAACAATGATGCAAAGTAATATAACACAACACAGAATAATATCGATTGAAAACAAATAAATATCCACACAAACAAACATACATACATAATTATCACATGGCCTGCGGGCCCAAAATTTTCGTTCTCTCTTTCCACTCCTCTCCAAAATCCCGCCCAAACTGAAGCGGGCCCACAAAGCCACTTCCTCGGCTCGCCTTCTGCGCCGCACGCTGGGCCGGCTTCTACCCCGAAGCCCATCTCCAGCTCACTTAAGTGAGTCACCAACGAGCCCATCTCTCCTCCGTTGGATTAAACATGGGCCGACGTGGCACCAAATCCGGCCCTGTGAGTATCTGCTAACGAAAATAGCAGTTAGCAGATTAACTTCTGCGCCTCTCAATCCCGATTCCAACCTGTGATAGGCAGATAGCTCCAAAATTTCCACTCCCTCTGCTTGCGTCAACGACCGTACCAGCCACATTCTTCAAGCAATTTAATCTTTGAGTGTTTTAATTTTCAAGGATATTTTGGTAAAATTAGTACCCGGTCGGGTTATGGTGTTACATATTTTGTATCCAAACCTTTTTCAAATTATTTTATATTATCCAAACCTATCGAACTACTAAGAATTAGCCAAATGTTAACTTTCAGTTAGCAATTTTGTTAGTAATATTGACTTGGCAACATGATACTAACTTGGAAGAGACACATGAAGGTCAACATTGCAAAATTTTAGTATTTTAACTAAGAAAAGAGTTACAAAATTATTAACGATAACGAAAAAATTGCTAATATTTTGATGCATTACGAATGATTTGGCTAATTAATAGCATTTTAATAGGTATTGATAATATAAAAAAACTTTGAAAAAGGTTTGGATAAAAAATAGACGTTACCCACAAAGGAAACCACAAAGCCCAAACTAAAATGTTGAAATCTGAGCAACACCAACAAGGCTTAGGAAACTCTAGTCTAGTCGAGCAACTCGTTACTCTCATGGCGCACACGTTAAAATTCAATTCATTGGGCTTAAGATTGAGCTGACTAAGCCAGCCCAACCATTTAAAACCAACTACTGAATTTGACTACAGAAATGATAGCCCAAATGAAAGAAAAACCACTGCCATCCCCAAATCCTTCAGCCCGATTCTGACACCACAAACGAATACCTGACCCCATTGCATCTCATTTCATGGAAACACCCCAAGTACACCTCGCTGATGGACTAGTTAGTGAGGGGATCTCCGAGTCGATCAAATGTTTATAGGGTGGCGAGTAACGACATGTCCCACATTTTAAGTATTAAAGTTTAAAGGGTGGAAGTATAAACAACTTCCAAAAGTTTTGAGGTGAACACTTAAGGAAATACCCTTAAATGCCTTGAAATTTTTAGTAATGGCGTAGACTGACCCCAACCCACTCACCAGGTCGTAGAGGAGAAGGTAGGGAGCAATGACGGAAGATTAAGACTTTATAATCCGAGTAAGCGACGTTTGGGACCTTTAGTTTTTGCTTTATGATTCGAACAATGACTGAAGATTAAGACTTTATGATTCGAGGTTTGCCAAAGTGTTAGGGATTTGCTTTTAGAATTATAAAGGTTTATTTTCAGTATTGGTATTTTGAGCACAATGTTATTCTTTTCTTTCAAAATCGTAAATATGCTCAGGAGCAAAACTATTATTTAAAGGTTTTAGAGACTAGGTTTTTTATGTTGTTGATAAAAATGAACCATCTTTTATTTCATTCCAATTCCAGCGCAGCCAAAGGATTATAGGAGAGGGGAAATAATATCGACAATAACAATACAGTTCCCTAGCAGCGACATCATTCTAGCATTACGAGCAACCCAATCTGCAAGGGCATTCAACCGACGAGGGGTGAATTCGACTTTGATCCAAGGTACAGAGGAGAGTGCAAAAATGATGAGCGATGGTTGCTTGATAGCGCCTTGGCCAAAGCGAGGGATGGAGATTCAGAGCAGAAATAATGGCAAGGCAGTCCGAGTGAATGACGGTGGGGGTAGGATCAAGAGCGGCCAGATCCACAGCAAAAAGTAAAGCCAATGCCTCCGCTTGAATTGGGCAGGAAAAAAGAAAAATCTCAACCTTTTCGTCAAACACCTGACCGTGGAAATTAGCAATAGTAATCCCATATGTCGTCAATTGTGAATCCGAAATAAAAGAAGCGTCACAGTGCACTATCTTCTGGACAGGGCAAGGTGGTGGAGAGGTGTGAGAATGAGAACCCCGAGGTTGAGCAGGCGAGAAGGTAGAATGGTGAGAGGAATAGGAACGAGAGGAAGAAAGAGCTTCCTTAGTGAATGAGAAATCCCTTTTTGCCATTCTCCCCGAAGAGCCCGAGGAAATAGGCTTGTTTTCAAAATGCAACCATTACGAGCAGTCCAAATGCTCCAAAGGCAGTGTGCAATCCTTTTGAAGTAGAATCTCTGTTCATAATAACTCTGATAAGCCGAATGTTCATAGCTTCTTTAGCATCACAAAATCCATGAGCCCTTTTGACCTTTCGGAGCAGAAAACAGATTGCAGAGGGGAAGTAGAGGCCTTTGAGAAGCCGAACCCAGAGGCCGTCATGATTCTTTAACATACGCCACACCTATTTGCTAAGAAGTGCAATATTAAATATGTGGAAGTTGCGAAAACCAAGTCCTCCATCCTCTTTTGATAATTCAAGAGATCTAGCATTACACCAATGAATGGAATTTTTGATCATCGAGCCAGACCAAAAGAACATGCGAACGATCAAGTCCATCTTATTAGTCAATCAACAGGCTGAAGAAAGATGCTTATGATGTAAGTTGTGATAGCTTGTATAAAAACCTTAAGCATAATCCCTTTTTCACCAGGGGAAAGGAGGAGGCTTTTCCATGATCCTCCCTTCTTCATCATAAGCTCAAGGATAAAAGAGAAGGTTTCTTTTTTAGATCGACCCCACTCAATAGGGATACCCAAATAATTGTCATGGCACATCGATGGGGGAAAGACACATCGAGAAGCAATAAAATCGGCTTAATTGCAAGTTTGGTCACTCGAATTACAACAAAATTTCACGTTTGCCACTCAAATTAATTTATTCCATTTATAGTCACTTAAATTAGGTTAACAGTCCAAATTTGGTCACTGGCCGTTAGTCTCCGTTAACTTTTGCTGATGTGGCGGTCAACTCTTATAGTTGACCGTTAAATGCATGACATGGCCATTAAAAAAATTTAAAAATTAAAATTTCCACCTCAAGTGCGGCGGTTACCTTCCGACATTTCCGCGTCGGAGGAGAAAATATTGCGCTTCCGCGCTCTGGTTGAGCGGGGCAGAAGAAGAAGCCACCGCCGGAGAGGTGGCGTTCCGGTTGGGCGCCTCCCGGAGCTCGATCCTCATTCCCCCTTTTGCCCTCCCTTGTTCCCGATCTCCCCCAGCTCCGTCGAATAAGGTGAAGACTTTCGCGCCGCAGGACTGTTCTTCTTCGGCGGGAGAGGAGGATGGGCAGTTCGATTTGGTGGAGATGGTTAATACAATCTTCCCGCAGGGGATTACGAGTATTATCAGTCAATCTCGGAGGATATGTGTCGGGAGCTCTGTTTGAGCGATTGCTTGTGCGATGCGGTGACTTATGAGAGCGCGTCTTGCTGGAAGAAGAGGGTGCCGTTGTCGAATGGGTACATGGATCAGGAGAATACAGGGAAGACTCTGCTCAAAATTCGGAGGCAGAATTCGACTTCGACTGCGGGGGAGAGAAAGAATGCTTTCATTGCATATGGACTCTCTTTTTTTGTAACTAGTTCTGAAGAAATGCTGCTAATAATTTTTCACTTGTTCCAGAAGTTTAAAATTGAAGTTTTCATGTTTATCATATAATAGGTTCACATGGGGACACCTAAACTAGATTCAGATATGGACGATGTGGAGCCAATGGAAGGCGAAGTTAATGGGGAATTTACTGATTCTGATTCCGACTCAGGGGAGGAAGATATACAAAAATCGGCTATTCCCTCTAAGGATGCAGTCTACAACCGAGATGGAATGAACGACAAGCTTCAAGAAATCAGCTGGCCAGAGAACTTAGGCTGGATACACAAACTCTCCCTTGACATCAATCAAGAGCAAGACGTTGATGTAAACGATGACCTGACACGTGAGATGGCATTCTACACACAGGCATTGGAAGGGGAGAGGAGGGCCTTGGAGAAGTTTGAAACTATGGGCCTTCCCTTTCTGAGGCCTCCGGACTATTATGCCGAGATGGTGAAGTCAGATACCCACATGCAGAAAGTGAAGAGCCGACTCCTGGCTGAGGAGAGAAACATGGAGGAAGCTAGGGATTCGAATAGGCTAGCTAAAGAGGTTCAAGCCCAGAAGCAGAAGGAGAGAGCAACACAGAAGAAGTCGGAGATTGAGGCTGCCAAGAAGTGGAGGAAGCAGAGGCAGCAAAATGGGTTTCCTGCTCCTGGTGGGAAGAAGAATGGTGATGAGATTGATTTGGACTTTGGAGATGGTTTGAATCCGTTTGCTAAGTCCAACAAGCAAAGGCCAGGGGTATCTCCAGGAGACAGGTCCGGGGGATCTGATGAGGAACATCCGGGAGATTTGGCGGGAGTTCTTCGACCTCCCCCTAAACTCCAAGCAGCAGTATGCAAACGAACCTGTTTCCGACGAAGGGTACGGCAGCCGCCTCGGGGTCGAGAAAGGCGCCACCTCGACTGGAGCGACTACTTCTTCCTTCGACGCGGAAACGTCGGAAGGTAACCGCCGAGGTGGAATTTTTAAATTTTAAATTTTTTAATTGCCAAGTCATGCATTTAACGGTCAACTATAAGAGTTGACCGCCACATCAGCAAAAGTTAACGGAGACTAACGGCCAGTGACCAAACTTGGACTGTTAACCTAATTTAAGTGACTATAAATGGAATAAATTAATTTGAGTGGCAAACGTGAATTTTTGTAGCAATTCTAGTGACCAAACTTGCAATTAAGCCCAATAAAATCCCTCAGGGCAAAAGGAGTATTGTGACTAAAGAAAATAGAGGATTTGCTAATCTAGCTTGGTCACCAAGGTTTATTGTCCTTCCGCTAGTTGCCCGAGTTTTGCATATACCATCTCCACGTCAATTTCTTCATGCATGGTGGGCTTGTCAGATGTAGTATGCGATCCTTTTGTTTTGCTCATTTTTTTTTTTTGGTTTCAATTGGCATAAACAATCATCCTAAACAAAATATAATACTAACTGACGAGTATATGAATAAAGGGGGTTTATTTTGATGGCTAATGGTAGTAGTGTTGGGGAAGATGCAGGGATGGAGCTGAGCATCGATTCAATTTGTAGTCTAGTGGTTGAAGAGTTTTCTTTTTTACAGGGAGGTCCTGTGTTCGATGATGGATCCTGGCAAATAGATTAACTATTAACCCCAAAATGTCCATTTCCCCTCCTATGTTTACCATTTTAGCATGTCTCACCATAAATTTTCTCAAGTTATACAATTTGCTACCTACCTTTCTTGTTTTGTATCATTCTTTTCCTTTATTTATTTTTTGTTTTTAGCGCTAATTTCTCATCTCCTATTTTTCAAGTTCAACAATTTGGTAATAGATCTTGCTTATTTTTGTGTATCTTTTCCTTTTCCTTTTCTCTCCTGATGTTCTAAAAATTTACAATTTTGATTATGACAAAAAATGAGAGCTTTTCACCAAATTCTCCTTTCTCCATTAGGAATCAGGTACCTATTTCAGTTTTTTAATTCTCCTACGGTGCCACATCCATTAATCTTGTTTAAATAACAGAGAAAACCTCTTTTACTAATTTAAAAATAGGTTACACTAACAGTTTATTAATTTATATTGAATAAGAAGTAGGATAATGAAAATCACCTAATATTTTGAATGTTAGTGACATAAAAATACAATTAGACTAAAATATGAAAATTATAAATTTTATATATCATATATTTGACTTCTAACTTTTCTTTATTGGCCCCTCCTAAACAAAATTCCTTGCTCCGTCCCTGGGAAGGTGTAGGCGTGTTTGTGGTGGAAAGGGGTGATGATTTGAGTGATCGAATAGAAGGGAGGAAGAGTTTGGACGTGAAGGAGGGGAAGATAGAGATTGTGGGCCGAGTAGAGATAAGAGGATATTGGAACGATTTGATATAATGCAATTTCATAATAATTAGTATCTACACAATCTATGCTACACTATTTCTCTTTTAAATTATTAAGTGAGACATATTTGCTCAAACATGGTGAGTTATACAATTTAAACCAACTTATAAGATATATATCGCTATACTCGTAAGTCGGTAGTCTTGTTGTCTCCTTAACCACAATGTTAAGACATCACATTAGCTCAAAACAAAACGGTTCACGAGCTGAACTCAAAAAGCCAACGAGTCGAGCTAGCACGTGAGCTAAACAAGCCTTAGCTCAAGCTAAACTCGTTAGTAAATGAAAGAAACCCTATTCCAGGGTCTCTAGATTATGATCTTTGACACCCGTAATTATTTGTAACTAATAGGGATTTAGGGATCGAGAGAAAGAATTAGGAATTTATATTGATAATTTGGGGAAGAACATAATAGAATCAAGAATCGGCCGAGGCCTTGGATTAGGGGAGAATAGAAATTAGGAGTTGAGAATATTATGTTAAGAAAAGATACTTTGATTAATACTTTTCTTGATTATTTATGAATAAAACCCCAAGTACATATTTATAGGAAATAAACCCAAAGCCCTAACAATTTACCCTAACCTACTCAATCATAACCAGCCGCCTAACTCTACTAACCTAATAATATTAATTATAATAACACTATTAATTTATATTTCTAACAATCTATCCTCCTTGAAAACGACCTTGTCCTCAAGGTTGCACTCACTTTCACTTTCTCGATCTTCCGCTTTCTTCGATTCCAATTGTGTTCAATTCCACAAATGAACACTTTTCCAGCAACTGGAACTTTTGCCGATTCTTCTCCAACCACATGACACCTGTCACATGCTCCATCGCCAGACAATTCTTTCTCCTCCTTGTCGAAAATCACAAAATAAGAGTCAGCGAACTGCTCTCAATTGTGCTCCGGCTTGGAATCTTCATGAAGACGAGCCCTTTTCTGCTCCATTCCCTTTCAAAAGCGTTTGAATTAATTCTTCTTGGAAGCCCACTTTTGTGCCCACTTCTCTCTTCCTTCAAATTTCTTCCCTGCAAACTAGAGCAAATAAGACAGCCCAACTGTAGCCCAAATCTCCCTTGATCATTCGGCCAATCTTCCTCTTGAAACCCCTCTGATATTGTCTTGTTCTATCCATTACCAAACCTATTTCCGGCCCGCATCACTACAAATCGAGGCCCGTTCCACTGCTCCAATCGAGCTGACACGAGCTCAGCTAGCTCTTTCCTGGGATAAGATCAGGTGACTAAGAGGCTTGCCTAAGTCAATGCTAGCCTTTTAAGTTCATTAAAATCCAATGGCTCTAACTAATTCAATTTAATGAAGGGTAGTGTAATAATTACATGATTCTTGATTATTTATTTTTAAAAATTAATAATTAAAAAATCCAACAGCAGCGACCCGCCGACCCCGAAAATTTCCCGGCAGGCCGTCCAGCCCGTCTCCTCGCCGATCAAAATATCCCGGCGTCTAGGCTTTTCCGGTGCGTTCCTACCATTCATCCGGCCATTGCCATTTATTTTTTGGTTCGTCCCAGAGAGAGAGAGAGAGAGAGAGAGAGAGAGAGAGAGAGAGAGAGAGAGAGAGAGAGAGAGAGAGAGAGAGAGAGAGAGAGAGAGAGAGAGAGAGAGAGAGAGAGATCCCGCCGGTTTGTATTGTGTGTCATTTTTAGTGACATTTTGTACGGTTAGTATGCTTTGTACTGTTTGTCGGTTTATTTTGTAATGTTTGTACGCTTTGTTATTTTGTAATGTTTGTCGGTTTTTTTGTAATGTTTGTAAACTTTGTTATTTTTGTGCACCATGTTTGTAATGTTTTTTATGTCTAAAAAACAACCTGGTTGACTTTTGGATGAAACTCATCTATATAGGGATGGAGCATCCAAAGTCAACCCGGGTGTTTTTTCCAGTTCGTATGGATTGTCGGTCTAGTTCGTCATTTTTGTCCACCATGTTCGTAATGTTTGTATGTCTAAAAACAACCGGGTTGACTTTGAGACGGAGCCCTCTATATAGGGATGAAGCCTCCAAAGTCAACCCGGGTGTTTTTTCAGTTTGTATGAATTTTTGGTCTAGTTTGTCATTTTTGTCTACCATGTTTGTATGTCTAAAAAAACCCGGGTTGACTTTGGGAAGGAGCCTCTCTATATAGGGATGGAGCCTCCAAAGTCAACCTGGTTGTTTTTTCTTTTTGTATGGTTTGTATTGTTTGTCGGTCTAGTTTGTATTTTTGTACAGTTCATATGTTTGTAATGTTTGTAAATCTGTTTGTATGTTTTGTCGTTCTAGTTTGTACTGTTCGTATGTTTGTATGGTTAGTAGTGATTGTAAATCCGGTTTGTATACTTCGTAATTTTCCATAATACCCAAACTACCCATGTCATTAATTAAATAGCCCTTTCCACTTTTTAACCATCAGATTGCTATATCCAGATCTAAAAGTTAAAAGGGGCTTAGTCAAGTAACTAAGCACCCCGTAGTCACTGGATCCTCTCTCCTCTTTCCTCCTCAATAGCCTGCGAAGAAGACTCTTTTCCACCTACTCCACTACACAACCCAGTAGACATCCCTTTTCTTATTCTCTTCTTTGTTCCTCGTTGGCGACCACTCCGTCGGCGGTTCCTTCTTCGGCGACACTCGCTTCTCCTCGTTTGCCGGCGAAGCGATCTTCAGTAGGCTGGGAGGCAGGTTCGACCCGACGACCCTCTCCTCCGGCCTTCTCTCGTCGTCGCTCATTAGCTTGAAGGAGAGAGAAGTCACCATCATCTTTTTTTGTCTCTCCCCGAGGAATCCTCGACTCCGACGAGTTCTCCTAGCGCTCGATCTCAAGGCCATCTTTGGCACTTTACTTTTTCTTCCTGAAACTCCAGTCCACAATGTGACCCGGTGGTGACCTCCTCTAAGAATCCTGAACTTTGGTGTCAACTTCAGTAGCCATCCTGACTAACATGATCGTGGTGGCTTTGACCCTCTCCTTGGTCTTCACCACCGCCCGCGACTATCGGTGGTACTCGGATTTATTCCGTGGTCGGCGGCTCCGTTTCCAGGGGCTCATCGACCTTTGTATTTTTCTCGATTGGTGAAGGAATGGCTAGCGATGATGGTGATGTCACAGGGGAGATAGTCGCTGCAGCAACTGCTTTCTCGGCCTTCAACGTGGTGGTGGTTCCACCTTGCTCGAGCTTGATTGGGAATGCAGATTGTTCCAACCAATCTTTGAAATCCATTTCTGTGATCAGCGGTTTGATTGCGGTGCAAGCTGCGGCTGGAGGTGGAATTGGACTACTCTCTATTCTCGCAGCTTCCAACTCCATTTTAAGAACCATGGTGAGTTCTTTGAGTGAGAGCCCTTCAAATCTCAATATGGCTCCGGTACGAGTGCCTGCAAACAGGCTCTGATACCACTGAAAGAAACCCTCTTCTAGAGTGTCTAGGTTCTGATCTTTGGCACCCATAATTATTTGTAACAAATAGGGATTGAGAGAAAGAATTAGGAATTTAGATTGACAATTTAGGGAAGAACATAATAGAATCAAGAATAGGCCGAGGCCTTGGATTCGGGGAGAATATAAATTAGGAATTGAGAAAGATTAGGTTTAGAAGGAATACTTTCCTTAATACTTTTCTGGATTAATTCTAAATGAAACACCAAGCATATTTATAGGAAATAAACCCAAAGCTCTAACAATTAACCCTAACCTACTCGACCATAACCAGCCGCCTAACTCTACTAACCTAATAATATTAATTATAATATAATACTATTAATTTATATTTCCAATAGTGAACAAGTGGAGATTCAAACGAGCTTTTCCCAAGCCTAACTCTACTAACCTAATAATATTAATTATAATATAATACTATTAATTTATATCACCAACAGTAAACAAGTGGAGATTCAAACGAGCTTTTTTCAAAGCCGAACGTCAAACAGCTCGTAAATACCTCGACTCATTAACAACCTTATCCAAGATCAGCAATATTAAAGAATAAGAGTTCAAAACCATTGTAACGAAGTTGAGATTTACACGAACATCTCAAATCGTAATAAAAAAGTAGTACGAATGAATCCAAGGAAACAAATCCAGAACGACATTGGATGTGATATTATTATTGCATTATATCTCTTCTTCCATACATACAAACGCCAGAGCCCAGAAACAAGCTTCTTCGACACATCCATCAACTTCAACTATAGAGAACGCATAGTCGCATATAATGGTGCATACACTTGTTCTATCTATCTGTCTACCTTATATACGAGTTACCTATCTTACTACTATCTATATATTGCGTGGATGTATAGATACGTCAGGCAAAATGATGACGCTGAGGACGAGGGTAAGACGAAGCACAGTTCGGTCTCGTCTCAGCGCTACTACTCTCCATTCGCCTCAGTCTCTTCTGCCGGTACCTCCACGCAACTTGAATCCGCATTGCTGCTATGCTTCTCCAGTAAGGGGATGCATACCTGTGCAAACAAGAAGTCAATCCCACACAGCCATGCATATAACTCAGAAGCTGGTTGGGACGTAACATTCATACTCTAGGCATGCATAGATAGAAGTGAAGAAGCAACCTGATGGCGCTTTGGACTCGTGGATTCCTCAAGCTCCTGGCGAAAATGCTGGTGACATCTTCCAGGTCGATCGCTCGAAGTGAGAATGCCTCCACGTTGGTTAAGCACCTTACTGTTCTGCTGCTGATTAATCTCTGCCCTGGCACCTTGATTTTCATGCCTTCTGCGAAAATTCATTACTCAACCTATAGAAATGCTGGTTGGTTTTCCTTAATTAGAACGACTATGACTCTGACAAGGCCGTAGTTCCATACCTTTGCTGACTGAAGAAGCATGCTCAAGACACCAAGTTAGCAGTTCCTCCCCACAGACTTGGCCTTCGGACAAAATGATTTCAGTTCCATCCGCCCCCACGCTCTCCAACTTTCCCCGAACGATGAACACCATCTTATCCACCACACCGCCGCGGTAGAAGATTTCACTGCCCTTGATGTATATTCGCTGTTTCAGTTTCTCGCAGATGGCGTCCAGTACGTTGACATCCATCAACCCAAATATCCACACCTGCAGTACTCATCGGTGCCAAATATTTGATATTGTTGCAACGATTGGAAATTTTTTAACAAAAGCGGGTTGGTATTGAAATATTCCTTGACGGCTCACCTGCTTAACAAAATTGAATAAATGCCTTCTAATTTCTCTTTGGAGATCTTCAGGTAAATTCTCCAAGAGCAGTTCTTCATTCGCTCCTCTGGTAGCAGCCCAATTATACCGTTCAGCTTCCACCACTTTCCTGTATCCCATAAAAAAAATTTAGTAAAACTAACTCAAGTCAATATATAAGACAAATTTTCAATGTTTGATTTCTAAATATGCCAGATAGCATCGAAGTTGTCTTCTTTCCCATGTTTGATCTACGAAGAGGATTGAAGACAACTCTTCCATCCAACTAAGGACATGTACTAAAACTTTATCAACGAGACTTCTTCATTGACTCTATAATATACACGTTAATTTGAGACATTAATTATCAACATGACAGATCTGTAAACTAGTATCCAAACGGGACACTTGGAAATGGACCATATATGAATGTTGTATGTGCGAAAAAGCGGATGGATCGTGCGATCGCTTGTTTTTGCAATGTCATTTTGCATCCAAGTTGTGGTATCACTTTCAGCTCAGGTTCAATATTGTGGGTCCATTGCCACAAAGATGTGAACTTTTGAGAACACAATGACAATTCTTGACTGCCATGGATAACTCAGAAAAACATATTATGGTGATCCCTCATGCCATCCTATAGAGTATATGGTTGGAACACAATACACAGATCTTTGGAGACGAAGTTCATAACAGCTCCCAGATTCAATCTCAACTGATATTCCTTCTCACAGAATGGACAGCCATCAAGGACCTCAAGGGTTGATGGCTGTCCAGGATTCTGAGACGAAGTTCATAACAGCTCCCAGGTTTATAAAACGCCTCAAAGACAACACTTGCTTTTCCATTTATACTATATAATTGAATACCAAATTATGTTTCTATTTTTCTGTCGACTAGTTTTCCTTTTGTTGCTCTAGTCACTTTTCTTGTACTATACATTCCCTTTGTATTGGCCCTCCAGAAAGGGATTTAAATCAATGAGATACTGCACACTTGTAAAAACACATATGAATGTTGTACCTCCTTAGTTCTTGTGGCAAACGCCGATGACTCATCCACTGGTCCACATCACGTCGCCTTAGAGACATTTCTAACCTCCTAAAATATGGAATTGACAAAACGTATTGGGCAAATGATTACTTAGCGAAAGTAGAATAATTCGTTATAGGCAACATTAAGAATGAGGAAAAAACTGTACCTCCTTCCAAGAGCCTGGAGAAAGTTCTGCATGTTGCCAATGAGAAATGCAAAGAGCAACAGGCCAAGTCCAACTATTAGCATTGTGAAAAGGACTTCCCACACAAAATAGCTTGGTACCTGGTTTCCAGCAAGAGTGCTGATTTGCTTCACCAAGAGTCAATCATGCACATGTTAGAAGCCCAACGAGAAACATTTACAAAAAATACCAAATATAAAAAGATCAAAATTAACCCAGGTTATTTAAAAGTATGATTAAAATTAAATAAACTTAGGAAATCTGTCATCCATCATGATATGCAAGCTTAAGAACAATAGAAAAACGTAACTCGTGAATGAACAAATGCATGGCAACGAAAAGATAGATAATACATTCAATATAACTATATGATTACCTGAAAACCCCAAAACAATGAATATGTGTATCTAGTGATAAAACTACTTTTTGTGGTGAGGTTGACCGCTTGAGCATAAATCCCATAAGAAAAGCCACCACTTGTCATAAAACATGCAGTGGCATTGACATTACTTGTCCATATTTTCCATTCAGGTTTGCGAGAAAATTCTCTTAAGTCATCACCATGGCCACAATCTACGAAATTCACACAGTTGGTGATATTAGAATTACGGCAGGCATCACGGAAGCACTGATTAACCCTCTGCACAAAAAACATAATTTTAAATTAGAATGTTATGATATTAGTCAGAGCACGGATATACATAAATAAAGATGAGGCATCATCATCAAACAAGTGATGATTATATTTCAGCTAACCTGTAATCCAAAGAGGTACCAACATGATCCCATCACATGCCCAGACAACATAAAAGTGAGAAGGTTGATAAAGAAGTTTGCCCATGCCGTCTCAAATATGAAGCCACTCTCTGACTGACCAATAAGAAGTGGTAAGAACCTATACAATCTAGGAATATATTGTACAAGAACTGCTGCCCTTAGAAGGTTTTTAGCATAATTGGCTCCAGATGATCCCAAAATGTCTGGTAGAACCATTAATACGATGATCTGCATAATGTTCAATAGAGGAGTGAAAACGGAGAATAACAGAGGTAACCGGTTCATGTAAGTTGAACTGTAAGGTCGTGCAATTGTTAAATAAATATGACATACAATCTGTAATCAGAAATCTACCCCATGCTAAACTTTGAAACCTAACAGAAACGGGTTCTGAAGCATACAAATACCTCCAATCACTTTGGCTGAAGATCTCATGAAATCATGGAATACTAGATAGTTTTGAAACATGCAAGATGGGGCATTAGATGAACTTACTTGAGGAAGAGGCAGTACAATGAACAAGTCAATGAAAAAGCATTTACGTATGTAATTCTTTGCAATCTTCTTGGGATGGTCAACTAACTCTCCAGCACCAACCACAGTAGATTCAGGAGCTACATAAGCCAACCTAAACTGTTCCAATTGAATCAAGTCAAACTAATTAGCAACGGTTCACCTATAGAAGAAAGGGTAAGCCAATAAGAAGTTCTTAAGCGATTCACTAGAGAGCATGTTCAGGGTCTAATATTTCTAAATGAGATGATATAAAGTAGTGTGTATTAACATAACCCAACGTACAATGAGTCAATGACAAGGGAAGTGCAAAAAGAGGATGAACAACGTGTAAGAAAGGAGGCTTTTCTAGTGAATGAGAATGCAATACATCCATATCAAGGAAGCATACAAGAAGGTTTATTTGCTGATGCATCGAAGCAAAACTTTAACTGCATATTTTCCTCAAGACACAAGCAAAGAATAGAAGATTTATTTTGAGACATCCATGCACTAAAGGACATTGTACCTGGAGAAGTATGTTCAACAAGTATACAAAATCAGTCACACTCCTTAAGACCACAATCGTCGTCGTTAACGTGTAGTTTATGTATATGCACTTGTTATCCTGTATTTATAAGAAGGAATCACCAAACACTATCTCATGTCAGATTGCAGCATGAACAACTAATCATGGAAATACTAGCATTCGTGGGGGGCATATGCACACTACATGGGATATGAAGTGATTCCAAACAATCAATGACATCATGAGACAGGAAAATATTAAATTACTTAGACCCAACAAAGTCAGGCATGTACAAGGCAACAATTTCTTGTTGCTCATACACTTACTCCGTTATCCTATACTATATAAATAACATAACCTACACTTTATAAGCATCACCTCTCCAAGTTTCAAGTGCACGAAAAACACGAATAACCAAGTACCGACCACTACAGGCTACAGAGTGTGAAATCCCTAAAACACCTTCCATATTCTTTTCTATTTACATATTTTCCGGGTTGATTGGGATTATGCCAAAATGATAGGTGATGAATCATTGAAGTGGGAACGAGAAGTACCTGGTCCACACCTAGCAAGAAGAAAAACAACGGGTCAAGAAAAATGGCCACCAGACACGAAATGACGAAAAACTTGTTCCACCTTTGAACGATTTTGGTATGAGGATTCATGACCGGGGGGATATATGGAGTAAAGTAGGAAAAGAACCTCCTTGCCCAACTTTTTGCATCACCATACAGAGCATTATGGAACTGCAAGGCCAAACAATATGAAATGTGAGACAATTATATAGACATTATAAACACTCAAGGAGCTCATAAGCAGAAACAATGGTGATATCAGAAACAGGAGTTACTTTGTTCCTATAAATGACATTTTTTACTTTCCTCACAATCCACAAACAACACTGAAGGTTCTCTCACCTGATGGTCAAAAATAAGGGAAGTTCTTGAATGCTTCTGCTTTGCTGCGGTGGTATTGTAATAGGTGGGACAGGTTGTGCAGTAAGGGTCACTGCACATCCCCAAGGGACCAGACCTCAATAGATGTTCATTCTTAGCACCATGCTTATCACGACTCCAATGATAATCCTGTTTCACAGTCTTGTTCCTAGGCAAACCAGGCTTCTGATGCGAAACATGTTCAGATGGGCTGCTTATGAACAGAGGACCACTGAGTTGAGTCGGGGGCATTCTCCTCTCACTGCGAAGTGGGCCTGTAAAGCCTCCGAGATGGTTCTCGTTCTCGTACCTATCCACAGGAATGGTGAAGGTCGCACTACGAGATCTTAAGAGCACATCCCTGTATCTAGCATCATCCACAACTTCATCCGACATTAGTGAATTTGCACCTGAGATTGACAGCATAGGTACCTCGTCTCTATCATCATCAGCCATATCTCCCTATGTCCTATCAGGGGGAAACCCGCATAAGCAGAGAAAGCAGTTCAGAAAAAGAAGAAATTTACAAACATAAGAAGGATAACAGCACACAGGTACAGCTATTGACATAGCTCCAGTATCAAAGCTGTTGAAGAAAATAGTAGTTGTATCCAATAGACTAACCCGAAAGAACCCAGAATCAACTTCAGAAAAGGTCATTCAGTCCAGTGGATATAGGGTTCCATGAATTCAATGTTTCCGATTCAGGTTTAAATTACTGGGTTTTGTAAGACACTATGGGCATTGCCCAATCTCGTTTAATCTAAGTATCGGGCAGGGGCGCCCTGTCCCACTTTTCTACCAAAAAAAAACTTCAGAAAAGGCTTCCGGTCGAATTGAGATCAAATTCCAAACTGTAATTCACTTGTTGTGCTAGCCATTATCCCATCTGTCCATGTCTGTAGAGTTGCTTTTGAGACTCAACATATCAAGTGCTAAATTTCAACTCCACGAACAGAGTTCTAGCGGTACAAACAACCAAAATAGAGTTTCACTTAGATGACTGAACAACACAGAGCAGCCAAAGTTGACTTGATCATAAATGGTTGACCTGTGGTCAGCTGAGCAGTCCCTAATCCAGTTCCGGTTAAAGCCTAAACTGACGAAAACAAAATTTCAAACAGCAACACAAACAGAGCACTTCGAGACTCTCTCTCTCTCTCAATCACCACAACTCGTTAGCTAACGAACATTGATCCTCCGTTGGACGGAAGAATGTGAATGCGAGACTAAAATTAGAATCGCCAAATTGAAATTTCCACAAGGAAAGAAAATGAAAAGAGTAGGAGTAAGAAGATGGAGAGGAACCTGAAGGAGCTGCTTCGGGTCAAGTAGCGGCAACCATGGGCGGAGAAGACAGGAGCAATGGGGGATGAAAGCGGGGAGAAGAGTAGAAGGAAGGGGCGTGGAATGGCGGGCAAAGTTGGAAGGGAAGAAAAGTCTAGAGGTGAAGCTGTGATTGATACTGATAGTTTGTGGAAACTTGGGAGCTGATTTGATTTATTGCTGTGCGGTTTTGTTATGATGACGAGGACCGAGCAGAGTGAGGAGGGGAAAGAGCGGGTTGCTTTCGTTTATCGTTTTCGATATTAATTACAAAAATGAATTGTTGTTCTGATTAGTTTACTTTTTCCACAGTGTGAGACAAAAAGGTTAGGTTTTGGTCCCTCAAATATTTCTGGGTTGCCTTTATACTCTCATCATTCTTTCTTTTAGGGGTCGTTTAGAAGTTGCGATAGTTTTGTTGAGATTGTCATTATGCATGTATTGTTTTTTTTTTTTGACAAAAGGTATTCTTATATTGAATCAATAAGAGATAATTACATCCTGGAAATCAGCAAGGCCCGAAAATAAAAAACACAGCTCATAGTCGGAGACAAAAAAAGGGTCTTTCTAGCCACTCTATGGGCTACCCTATTGTTATTCCGACCTATAAACCGCACACCTAACCCCGGATGAGAATGAAAATAGTGTATAACTTCTTCTAGAATAGCTCCCACCCGGTTATCACTAGTCTGCCGCGAAATAATCTTGTCAATAATCACCTTGGCATCTCTTTCAAACCTCACCTCCGTGAATTTCAGCCCCAAACACCAGCCAATCGCCTCCCGAAGGGTTAGCAATTCAATGACCATAGGATCACCAAGGTCAGGAAACTGAATCCCTCTGGCCAGAATTACTTCCTGGGATGAAGTCATAAGAACCATACCCCCAGCCGAGCGAGCCCCCTACCTGGTAGCCCCATCCCAGCGGCAGAGGACCCTGGACTCACTAGGCGGGGCCGCTGGGAGAACAGACGGGATACGCGAAGGAAGAACTCGATCCCTGGGAAGGCTCAACCACTCCTCACATTGTTGGTGAAACTGCCGCATTAAAGCTGGGATCCCAAACTGTTTGCCTTCAAAGACAACCCAATTCTGAGATCGCCAGATTCGTCAGAGGACAGCCACCAACGCCATAAAAAATTCCGGCTGATGGATGAGATTCATAACCCTTTTAAGAAACAGGGGAAAAGTATGGCAAGGTAATCCTTATCCTAAAAATTCCAACCCCGAGAGATCCCAAAGTGCCCGTGCCACCGGGCAAAAGAGAAAAAGATGCTCCAAAGTCTAAGTTTTTGCCCAACAAACTGGGCATCTGGGGTGCATCTGGACCTCTCTCTCAATTAGGGCTTCCGTAGTTGGGAGGATCCGGTTCAAGAGCTGCCAAAGGAACACCTTCAGCTTTGGCGGGATATGAGCCTCCCAAATACGGATCCAGCTAGCCTTATCCATCCAACTCGCCAACGATCGCCACCCACCCCTCTGCTTATCCACCAGGACCGCAAGATGGTAAGCTGACTTAACAGAGAATTGACCATCTGCCGTATCATGCCAGATAAGCCGGTCCGGCATGTGATGCCTGGGAAGGGGAATTGCCTTAATTTCCTGACAGGTAGGGGGATCGAACCACTGTCCCAGCTTGGAATCACACCACCGCCCCTCACCTGGGCACAACACCTCAAAAACACACAGGTCCCTATCCTCTGGGATAATCCGAGGATTACTTACCGGGGCAGAAGGATGCATGCGAGGAATCCAGCTAGAATGCAGAAGAGAAGCGGTCTGACCATCACCAATCTGCCAGCGGAGACCCTTCTCCAACAGATTTCTTCCAAACAGGATACTCTGCCAGCCCTAGGAAGGACGCGACCGTGCCGTGGTCGTAAAGAACGTACCCTGAGGAAAATACTTACCTTTATAAACTTGGGCTAAGAGGGACTCTGGTTCATTCAGGATACGCCATCCAATCTTAGCCAAGAGAGCTTGATTAAAATGCTCGGAGCGACGGAAGCCCATACCACCATCATGCTTACTGCGACACATATTACGCCAAGACATCCAACGAATTTTAGAACGTTCACCCTTAATGCCCCACCAGAACCGAGCTAAATGCTTATCAAGAAGGCGACAGAGGGACAAGGGGAGCTTAAAACATGACATGACATGCAGGTGTAAAGCTAAAGCAACCGATTTGATCAAGATTTCCTTTGCTGCCCAAGAAAGAGTCCGTTGCTTCCAGCCCTATAGTCTCTCCAATAATTTCTCCTCCAGATACCGGAAGGTAGCCATCTTAGAACGGGCTATCAGCGTTGGGAGGCCAAGATATTTGTCGTGGACGCCCACTGCACCCACCCCCAGGATCTGGGCCAAGAACTCTTGGTCTGGTATGGCAATATTCTTGCTAAAGCACACTACTGATTTACCCAGGTTAACTCTCTGCCCACTGAGTTCTTCGTACTCATTTAACACATCAAGCAGGTTTTCACACTCCTGGAGAGAGCCACGAAGGAACAGATAGGAGTCATTAGCGAAGAACAGGTGGGAAATTCTCGGAGCACGAGGAGCAACCTTCACACCTTCCAATTTGTGCTCAGCAATAGCCTTCCGTAGGAGAGCGGCAAAACCCTCAGTACAGAGTACAAAAAGCAAAGGTGAGAGGGGATCCCCCTGCCTAAGACCCCTAGTGGGAGAGAAATACCCCGATAGGGTGCCATTCATTAAAACCGAAATGAAGTGGATGTAAGGCACTCCCTGATCCAGCCCCTCCAGGTAGAATTAAAGCTTATTTTCTCAAGAACCGCAAGAAGAAAGGGCCATTCGACTCTATCATAGGCCTTCTCCATGTCAACCTTTAGCGCCATGTAAACTTTCTTGCCTTGCTTCTTGATCTTGAGGTATTGCATTAACTCATGCCCAAGGAGGACATTATCCACTATCTGGCGCTCTTTGATGAAAGCATTTTGCCCCTCCAAAACCATATTCGGTAAGAGACTAGCCAGACGATCCGTCATGATTTTGGTAATAACTTTATAAATGAATTGGCACAGACTGATAGGACGAAGCTGGCGCATGTTTTCTACCGCATCCACCTTAGGGATCAAAGTCAGCCACGTGTGGTTGAAGCTCCGCAGTCTCTTACTCGTCGAAAAGAAAGAGCAGACTGCGTTGATCACTGAATCGCCAACAATGTCCCAGAAGGCTTTAAAGAATTTGCCAGTGAAACCATCCGAACCTGGTGCTTTTTTCGAACCCATAGCAAACACAGTTCTTCGAACATCACTAGGCTGGACTGTAGCCGTGAGAGCAGCATTCATCTCAGGAGAAACACTTTGAGCTATCGGGAGGTTTGCCACCCTGTCAGTCATATTCCCTACCTAATTCTCCGAAGTGAATAAATGTTGATAGAAAGAATTGGTCATGCTAGCCTTCCCAGCCTCGTCAGTGATCCAATCCCCAGAGTCATTGCGTAGCCCAGCAACAAAATTCTTCTTTCTTCTGGTCCTTGTGACCGTATGGAAGTAAGAAGTATTTTGATCCCCTTTTTTCAGCCAATTGACCCGAGATTTCTGTTGCCAGTAGATTTCTTCCGCCTCCCACTACCTAGATAACTCAGTTTCCAGAGGTCGGACTGCATCCCAATCGATTGGATGGATAAGTTTAATCCGATCAATTTCCGCCTGGAGGGTTCTAATATTGCGCAGGGAGTTGGTGGTACCCGCCCTACTCCAGTCGTAGAGCAAATGGCGAAGTTTCTTCAGCCGCTCCCATAACTGGAACATAGGCGTGCCCTGGACCTCCTCCTTCCAAACATAGGTCACCATAGCTCGGACTTCGGGATGATCAGCCCAACGAGCATCAAATCTAAAAAGCGGGCGACTATGGCGCCGATATGGTTGGTCAGAGAGGAGGATGGCGCGGTGGTCCGATCCATGGTCAGTGAAGTGTTTTACCAGGGTTTCCGGAAACTGAGTAATCCAAGTTTGGGAGCAAAGGGCCCGATCCAACCTCTCACGAATACAGGAAGCTCCCATACGTCTATTCGTCCAGGTGAATTGGTCCCCTTGAAAACCAGGATCATGTAGGCCCGGATCAAGGATAAAATCGCGCAAACTAAGAGACTGAGTTGCGTTCCAAGCATTCCCACCATCTTTCTCACTTTCGTGGAGAGTAGCATTGAAATCGCCAATGACAATATAGGGGAGCTGGATAGTGTTACAGATCTCTCGTAAGTGGGATAACTGTGCATTACGAGTGGCGATATTACAGCTAATGTAAACAGAGACCACAACATAAGAATGATCACTTTCATTAATCTGAGTGCAAATACAAAAATTTGAATGAAAGAACACCGAGGCATCAACCCCAGGGGACCAAGCTACTACTAACCCTCCAGATGCATCAACAACATCAACAAAGAAACAATGAGACTGATGGAAACCTAACCCCCGCATACGCCGGGTAACTACTCGCCGGCTCGATCGTGTCTCCACGAAGAACACAAGATCCGGTTTATTAGAATGCACTAAACCTACAACAATTTGGAATGTGATGGATGGTCCAATTCCTCTCACATTCCAGGCGAGTAGCCTCATTTATTCGCAAACTCCCCATCAATCTAGTCAAAATGACGTTTCTTTATCCCAGCTCCTAACTCAGGTAGGTTGGTTCCATATTCATTTAGAGGGGTATCATTAGTAGCTTCAATTATTTTTCCCGGTATCTCCGCACTTGCCTGGGCTTGGGGTTGACCCGTACCGACATCTTCCTCCTTATCCTCCATTGCCAATCCACGTTCAAAAGCCCGCACCACTTGACTGACCCTAGAAGACTTAACCAGCCTCTTTAGTAACCCTGATGCCGAAAGAACTCGGCGCCTAAGCTCAAAGACTTGGGCTTCATCGTCCGAGAAAGTAACCTCCGAGTCCAGAGGGTCCGCAGTGGGCTCGGGTGAGGTAGGGCCGGCCCTGGGAGATGGCGGCAGGCCCCCCTTTGCACCCTTGTTCTCCCAACTCACACGCGCCAGCCTGCCTTCCTGGGTATCCCCAATGGATCTGTCTTTGGACTTGAAAGAACGGGCCCGAGCAGCTTCCTTCTCCTCTTTGCTTTTCAATCTAGCAACAGGCTTAGAAGCCATGGGCGGATGGGCCGGGCCAAATTTTCCTTTGGGGCTCGGACAAGCAGGCCCCCTCGACTCATTTCCTTTCTGCTTAGTCAAGGGCGACAGACTTTGCCCTGCCTGAGGTTTACGCGGGTCGGTCGGAAGCGGAGGCGGCCGAGGGTCATCCTGCCCAATAGATGAGATGGGCTGGACAGAGAATTCGTCCTCCGACTCTTCTTCAAGAATAAGGCGCCGGCGGCGAGTACCCTCCAGAGCTCCTGCCCGAGGTGAAGTAGCAGCGGATGGATTTGGCCGTCGCGATGAGGAATCTCTCTCACGCTGCCTCCTAGTAACCGCATGACCTGCCCCCTGTTCAGCTCGCAAGGGCTTCCCATGTCTGCCACGTCGACGCGGTATCGGGACAGAATCCTGTCGCTCCTTGGTGCGCTCATCGATCTCCATTGGACTGCCCACTGGAGCAGCCTGACCCTTACCACGCCGAGTTGGTCTTCCAAAGGGAAGTTTGGGAGCCTTCGGGATCGGGAATTGACGAGGGCTTCTCCCCTGCTTGGCTCGTGTCTCAGCAGGCTCTGCTTTGGCGAACGGGTTATCCGAAGACCCCATCCATAATGGACTATTGTCCACAACCAGATTCTTGGTAGTGGGAGGAGCGCGTCGCACCAAGGTTCCTATGCGATACTCCGTTCGTATTTCCTGTTCAGGCTTCTGCCTGGCATTAGAGTTGATCCATACCGAGTTAGGATGGCCAGAAAAGCGCTGGTTATGATCCTCCTCATCAAAAAATTTCCTTCCCATTTTTTTGGTTTTCATGTGAGGACCAAACCTCTCTTTCCTCGATGGCGGGTCGAAAACACAACTTTGGCGAAAGTGTCCTACACGACCGCAGTTGTAGCAGAAACTGGGGAGGTGTTCATACTTGAACCGGATCCAGAAAGAGCCTGTCTCTTCATTAGACGCCAAGATTTGGGATCTCAGTGGCTTGGAGAAATCAATGAGGGTTTTAACCTTGATGAACGTACTGGTTGTATCCGTGCAAGAGAAGATGTCAGTTTCGAGAACTCTGCCAAGAGTGGAAGTCGCCACTTTTCATCCAAACTGTTGAGTGCATCACTCTTCTTGCACATCCCACATCTGGACCTAGAATGGGACAATTGCCATCTCCTCAAAGGTTCGAGCATTAATGTTCGGTGTCCAGGCACGCAGGTGAAGGATTTTGTCCATAATCACCCAGGGGGTGCGTTGGAGAACCTAGTTCTTGGCAGCTTCAGTTGGGAGAATGAACTCCAACAATCCATGTGCCACCTCCCTCACTTTGATTCGTCCCTGGCCTTGCCATGGATTATTAATCGCAACACGTAGTTCATTTATTGCCAGCGGATCCACAGAGAAGACTCGGTCGAGCAGCATTCTCGACTTGCACAACCTGTCGGATTGCATCTCTGTTAGCGAAAAATCCACCACCTGATCGCTGGTAACATGACCCATGTTGGCCGACTGTAGCATAAAGGAGAAGTTCACGTTATATATATTAAACATGGCCGAAGCTTCGCCAACAGGAGTCCGGGGGAAGCTCGAGAAATTGAAAAGGAAGTTACTGGAAGGAAAAACATCTACCCAAACACAGAGCATTATATCCGTAACCAAGAATTTCCACGTACCAGAAAAGAGCTCCTGCGTGGGCTTGGAAACGCAGTTGCCAGGCACCTGATCCTCCTCTCGTAATTGTTGAGGGATAGGATTTGATGATCGCGTTAAATAGGTCGGCCAGTTTAGAGAACCCCACTGGGGCGGGAGTTCTATCTGGAGAGGGGGACTATTTTGTTTAAAATTAGAACAACGATTAGTGGATTTCCCCAACCGTATAGAGATACGGCGGATCCCAAAATCCCCTCAACCGTTATACATTCCCGAAGAAAGTGCGAACCCACTGAAGTTTTGCTTGCCGGTAAACCTCCCTGGCAGCGTACGTTTTGGGCGAGGTCTCGGCCGGAAGGCAACTGGGATCAACGGTTCCGGCGCTGGTCCACGACAGATCCAATTTTCCGGCGCCTGGGTACTACCACCAAACAGATTTGAACTCGTCCCATTGCGGGATCTAAGTTCAGTGCTCGCCCCATTTCGGGATCTAAGCTCGCATCTAGGGGTATCCAACCTTACTCTCAGGATCCTTGTATGTTCTTTTTGCTCCTTAAGGTGCTTCGATATACTTTGATAATCTTGTGATTCCCTGGCTGCCTCCTCCGGCGACGGTAAATAGAATCGCCACCTCACCAGTTTTGAACGTCGTGCTCGCTTGGGATGAGGGGATTCGTGGCCTTGGGTAGGTGCGAGGGCTTGTCTTCCTTTCCTCTTCCCAGGCCCGACCTGGTTGGCCTCCCCCCGAGAGGAGTGATGACCAGAGTCTACCCTCGGCCGTCGTCGTCCAAGTAGCGTCACCGGAGTGATTGTCTGCGTTCCCTCCGGTTTCATGTGTGGAAAAGCCCACCATAGTCCCTGCCTTTCATGATTGGCAAGGGCCGATTGGAAGATCGCCACCAAATAGAAGAGAAAGATGTCGCCGACCGTTTGACTAAGCTGTAGAAGAGCCCGCAGCCAGAGACCGAGGAGAGAGGCGAGAGCGCCTAACATTTTTTTTTCTTTCTCTTCATTTTTCTGTGATGAGAATATTTTATGCATGTACTTGCCGATTATGCATGTATTGTTTACAATGCATCATTTTTTTTTATTTTTTTAGCAGAAACAATACATGGATTGTTTCTGTGATGTGACAGAAACTATCACTCATTTTGGGTGATTGTTATATCTCAACTTTTAGTTGTGATTGTTGAGATAGTTGAGTTGAGATTGTTTTGTCTCAGCTTTTAGCTGATGCGACATAAACAATCACACATACCAAACGTTGTATTCTACAATGCATCAAATTTGACAATACATGTATAATATTATACATGCATTCTCAACAATACATCTATTTAACAATCGCAACTTCCAAACGACCCCTTAGTTAAAGTTATCAAACCGGATTATAGCGTTTTACTTGTTTAGCAAGTGGTATGATTCGGTTGGATTGCAATCGGTACATGTAGGTTTAATAAAATATGTAGAAATATGAACAACCATTACCATCAAATGAATTTAAACATATACATAATATTTAAATAAAATACAACATTCCGAAAAAAATAACAAATAATATTTCGAATTTGCAAACTCACAATACTGAAATGGATTCTATATATGTCTCTTCCCCCTTTCTCCCACATTTTTTTTATAGAAATACACTAAATCCGTACAAATACATCTCAAATAGTTGCTACTTGTAATTCAAATTACATGAACTTGAAACCAGCAAAATCAAATTTACAAGTATATGAAACCCAACCCAACCATACTATTAGTGTAGGTCTTGCTTGGCGCTGATGCGTGGACTTTGAATGAACAAGTTTACTTATGATTTCACATTATATTTTAAATGATTTATTCAATCATACCAAAAAAATTGCTAAGGAAGTGCAATTAGCTCGTCGATTCCTCGGATGATGGTACTATTTCATTCTGATAAATTGTTGTATGGTATTATCGACGCTTACGCATCTGAATTATTTGCCCTTCGTGATGCTATAGGATAGTATCTTAATGATAATATATATATGAGTTGTTAGTTTAGCCGGGATTCTCAACTAGTCATCCATGATCCTACATCAATGAACTCTTTCCATCTCAGAAAAGTTCATTCGCCCTTCTCTTTTTCATGTCAGTTTTGTTTCTTATTTTTCCCCTCAAAACTCTCACAAAATTGCTCATCTAATGACAAAAAAGACTTTTTGATTTGGAATCCAATTGCATACTGATACTGGCCACCTTTCTTGATTATCATCAGCTTGTTAATTTGTTGTTTGACAATGTCCTCAACACTTATCTTGGATATAATAATAATAATAATAATAATAATAATAATAATATTAATAATAATAATATCAATATTAATAATAATAATAATAATAATAATAATAGATGGCTACTTCGGTGCACTCACTTTTTTGAGTGCACTCAGTGCACCCATTTCTAAAAGTGTTCATAATACATCAAATTTTGAACTTTAATTAGTACTCTCAATCTAACATGATGATATGACATAGAATCATAACAAATCAATCTATTACCCTAACCCCTTAACCTTCAATTTTGAATCCTAATGCAAAATCTCAAACTGTAAACCTAAACCTTGACCCTAAACCCCTAAATACTAAATCCTTCAAATTAAAGTAAATCTTAAATGATTTTTTTTTAAAATTCATGGGCTTATTGTTCATAATATCATAAGCAACAATTGATGCCATTTTTACATGAATCGCATGCTCAGAATGATGATTATGAGGTGGGTGCGCTGAGTGTACCCAAAAAAGTGGGTGCGCTGAGTGTACCCAAAAAAGTGGGTGCACTGAATACGCCACCTAATAATAATAATAATAATAATAATAATAATAATAATAATAATAATAATTAGTGTAGCATTCACGGCAGAAAAGGAATAGTCATTGGGTTTGGGTGAGCAAGTAGTCAACAATGATTTGGAGGCCTGGCCGATAATGAATGCGATTCTGGCAGTCGTTGACTTGGCTACAAACTCAGTCCCTTCCAGCCAGCAAACTTATTCTATTATCCATCGTTGTTTTGAGCGGTTACAAGGCAAATGTATTGTTTATTATACCTTCTTGTTTGTATATTTCCTTTCTTTTCTATAGAGTATTGATGTTGTAATGTACAATTTGAAGTTGTACAATAACGTTAAATGTATAAGTTTAGGGGACCTCCTACAATAACTTGTGTTTTTTTGTAAGTTAGGTAACTTGATTTTCAGGGCCAGCCAAGTAGGGATGGCAACCCTGCCCGGCCCGCCGGATATCCATTCGTAACCCGCCCGGACAGAGGTCAAAAAATCCGTCCATCATGGGTAAAGCCCGGATCCGGGTATACCCGAAACCCGATAGTAGCGGGCAACGGGTGGGGATGGATCTCGTAGTATCCGCCCCGTCCCCGCCCGTCCCCAAAACGACGTCGTTTTCATTCAAGAAACTTATCCCATTTAAAAACCCTCCCAACCAAACTTCCATTCACACGCGCAGAAGAAAGCAACCTTGATCACTATTTCATTGCAATCCCTAATCACCCATCGCCCAATTCCACCGCCAACGAAAAATCCCCTCCTCCTTCTCCTCAATATAGCGATCGTTGGCCATCGACTTTGCCCTGATCATCGGCCATCAAGAAGACCTGTGTATTCGGGGGCGATGGGAAAGGTAAGTTCTCTGTACGTCGTCGGCAGCAGTTTTCTGCAAGGTCCTCCCCAACTTCCTCTCAATAGTGGACACTGGCCGTGGGGATCCGTGGGTTCCCCGAACCCGTCGACGGACGGTGACGGTAGCTAGGCTATCCCCGTTTAGTCGCCGGGGACGGGGAAAACCGTCAAGGTTGACGGACGGGGATCGGGAGGCTTGTACCCGCCCCCGATCCGCCCCGTTGCCATCCCTACAGCCAAGAGGGTGTGTCGGCCCGCCCTCCGGCACAGGGCCTCCGAATATTAGGGGCCTCCACTTAGATTCGTTAGTTACCGAGCGAATATTGCAGGTTGCTTTTTTAGTGTATGATTGATAGATTATGAACATGATGACGAATTTAATAGATAATTTTAGCTATACTAACAATTGAAAATGATCTCATGGAGAATATGAAAATCAGAGAGATAATAGATAATTTTAATTTAAACAATAAAAAAAGATATTACATTTTGAATAATGGTATTATAATCATTTTAGTTTTATTATAGTTAAAAGTCAATTTGGATCATGTCTCAATTTTAGAATAGGACCTACACGATCCATTAGATAGACCCGCACCCACCTCTCGATCAATTTATATTATTTTCATTTCTCCATTCAATTTTTGCTCTATATCTATTTTCTGTTCCCTCCAGATTTACTTTTCTCCCTCCCTGCTAGGACTGAGAATTTGGTCTTGGTTTCTTGGTCAAACAGAAAGTGAGATTGTTTATTCATTTTGAAATCATTTTCTGAACTTATGTACTTTATAATTATTTAATAAATTTTATTTTTAATAAATTTATTGAGAAAAAAATTAGGGGCCACATGTTAAATTTTCGAATAGGGCCTCCAAATATCATGGTACGGCTCTGTTGTTTTTTTGCACAAATCTAGGCCATCGAAATTTTGAACATGCAATTCTAACCATTGATGAGAATTATAAAAAGAATAGTCTGCGTATGGGCAACCGGTTGCACCTCCCGCCGAAAATTCCGCCGGAATTCTAATTCTAATAGGAAGAGGTCGTTGGGTTGGAAGGGGTTTTCTGATGCCCAATTAGGGTGTAGGCGGCCAAATTATTTCCATTTTAAAATTAGGTTTTCCAATCCTGAGTGCAGTCGAATCCTTCTGTTCCGTTTGTCGATCTCTATGTGCTGCTTGTGAGTGGCGGCCGAGAACAAGGAGAGTCGCTTGTGGGGTTCGGCTACCATTGATTGCTTAAAGAAATCGAGGAGAAGGAGATTGTCGCTCACAAGCCGCCGGTTTTCGAGTTTATCGTCGTTCAACTGCCGTCTCTGGGTTTCGTCCATCCGTTTGACCAAGAACAAACAGGGGAGAAGCATAGGAAAAGAAGAGGTTTCGGCAAATGCATTCATGAAAATATACTTTCTATTTCTTGGCTGTCGGTGTTCCTATATCATGTGCCTTCTTATAAATAATTACATAAACCTGATGTAGAAGGGAGACTTCGTTAAGAATCACTGGACGTCAGTTTGGAGCAATGCTTTTAGAGATAATGAATTCTCACGGGTTGGCATAGCCTTCAACTTGATCAATGTATGCTTTCCTTCCTTTCGTTCTTTTCTAGCTTTTGTATCTCTCACTTCGTGACAGACAAAGACGACTTGCTCGTGAAACTATGTTGTGATGAATGCAAAATTTTCAGAAAGCATTTGAAATATTTGCTCCTAGAGTCCGGTTATAAAGACTAGGAGAATCATTGAGGGAAGGATAAGAAATATTGCCAGAATCCATTTTTTTTCATTTGGCAGCCGTGTTGTTGGTTTAAGCACGAAAGGAACTAGCTACAGAACAAATGACCATAATGTCTTTGTCCAGTCTAGCTGTTAAGCATCACACTTGATCAAGTGTTTACATATTTTCTTTTTGTTTTAGCTTAATTTATGACTTCCTTTTTATTTTACGGGTTTTGATTTTGGACGAGGGGAGAGGAAGAATGGGATTCCCTATCTTCGGATGTAACAAGCTATGAAACAAGTTGGCCATTGGATGATGAAATTGAGAAGATCTACATGTAAATACTATTTAGAAAACCGGATCGTATCAGCCGGTTGAATCGATAAAACCGAAAATCGAGCCTTGGGCGATGCGGTAGACTATTGGTGGCAAGAAAACCGTGCCGGCCGGTTTTTCCGGTTAAACCGACACAATGCGAAGAGGTGAGCCAAAACATGCAGAAGCTTTTGAATTATTATAAAACTAATAAGAAGAAATCTGAAGTTGTCAAAGCTGAATTTAAAGAACCTCGTGATACAAATTCTTCTAGTGAGTTCTTTATGTTAAGAA